CCCCCCCGACTAAAAAACCTACTATGACGTATACCTATGTCATATCATATAAATTGAGTGATCGGCGCTGTTGATGAAGGAGTGAGGACGTTAAAACAAAAAAAGTTACCTATAAATAAAAACTGATTGTGAAATCGTTTTGGTGGTTAAAATTTTAACAATTTTACATTATACATATTAACAATCTCAATCGAAACACATATTGTATATCGAACTACCGCATAATACWTAAACAAGTTTAAGTAAGTGTGGCTGTGTGGATACTGAGTACGCACAAGTCTACAGCAGCTTAAGTGTCAGTTATTTTTGTCTATACTGTGTAATATGACAGTGACAGGTACCTACTCACTAAATTTACAACGATACACGCCACACGGGTGACGAGTATTATAGGTAATAGATTTACCGTAACGACCACGTACTAGATATAGGCAAGGTAAAGGTTATATATCATAGATGCTATATACGTAAATAAATATTCTATAATTATTTATAGATTTTTTTTAAGATCATCATTACTGAGTGGCCATAGTTCGAGAGARTAATGTGTTGTTGCGTAGGAATATATTATATTAATATTTAATTAYATATAGGTAAGCACTAAGCCGTCTAAACATAATAATATGTAGGTTACGTTATAATATATTATCATGAATCATGATACATTTTCAGAATATCTATATAATATTTAGATCTATTGTGAATGTTCTTGTTTATAGTCACTAATCACCATAAATATTATTATTGTTATTTTTTTTTTACATAAAAACGTGAGGGAAGAAGCCATCCAGTGACTTGAACGTGTTATATTTAATATAATCGTAAGTACTAAGTAGTTTAATTTTAATGTAATGAATAATGATATTATCATTGACTGTAAAGAAGAGGATATGCATTAAATCGTGACTTCACTTATATGATAAACATTTTGAACATCATTTAAAAACRGAATAGTGCACGTGACTAACTGTTCCCTACCTCTTAACCTATGTAGATACGTACCTATATAAAATATTATATTATTGTATAMATTTTACTATTTTAGGTAGGGTAAGATATTTATAAATAAATTGACTCGATTCGATTTATACGCCCAACAAGTTTTTTCTCTTCATTTAGGATGAGCTGTTAAATTGACTACGTGCATATCATTTTATCCCGCGATCGTATAGGTAGGATGTATATATTATTTCTCGTCATTAWACGCAACGTTCCAGTGAAACTTGGAAAATGCGTAAACTCGCTTTCACCATAATAATACCTTCCTAGGTTACCTACCTATAACAAAACACGATATGTTTATAATGCTATTTCGCGTGTACGAGTATATTATTATACCTATACATTTATACCGCAATCACATCGCATAGCGGGTCATCATGACCTACACGCGTGTATCTTTACGTTCATTTTGTACGTTGTTTATATTCATTTGTGATTACATGAAAACAAAAAAAAAAAACTATGAAAACGTTCAAATACATCTATAAGCAATTAAACAATCTGTCTCCTGACAAATCTCGACTATAATTTTGCGTACATGCTAAGCTCAAAACTCCTCTTTTCTTATTTAATTATTTAGTCATCTGCTTAAGGTCTCCCAAGTACTTAAACCTAAGGCCTAATGGAAATACAATAACAATAATAATGAGATTTATTATAATTTACATTCAAATAAATATATTATGTTTTGTAATATATTGTTTATAATATTATACATATTAATGCAGATTTAAAAGTTAAAATAGTATAATATAAAAAATTATCTCTTCACAACCATAAATGGCTAAAATATTTCAAAATTAGAAAGACTTAAAGCCCTTTAGTGGATACCTATATTACAGATATTGATATTACCAATGTGTTCGCGACGTTCGCGTATYTCGCAACAAAATACAAACAACATTTAAAAAATAGCATATTTAATTTATTTATAACTGTGACATACATATAATATACAATATACATATACGGCGTAAGTCCATAACATATTATA